GATTCCATTAAAAAAAAAGTAAATATGATCTTCGTGTATCCTTCAAGCGTACGATTACAAACAAAATAGCGGCACTGAATTACGCCCCCTCCCCATTTGAAACAGAACAAGATTCCTATGAAACATTATTTGAAATAACGAATAGTTTTTGAGATAATTGAGTGTAGTGATTAAAATGGGACACCCTGTATATCAAGTTGGAGTTATTCTAAAGCGGCGTATACCGAGATACCATTGCGCTACAGTCTGATCATTTAATTATGCCGCAAGCACGCGATCGTTCACGCAACAATATTAACCCACATAGTTCGTTAAATTATGAACAAGATATTAGGAACTTCAAGCGTAATAATGCGAGCAATTAAATGTGATAAATCGAATAACTTATGCTTTCAAATTAGTGAAATATTAGGTTTAGAACATACATACGTGCTTACTACGCCGTATATAACGCTTAACACACATATCGTTTACACTGTGCAGTTGGAGAACAATGGAAAGTGGGAACTGAACTTGAAATAAATATACACATAGCTTCAACAGAAAAGAGTCATCACGTTTGAACCAGTTTTTAGGAAATTCTAAACCGTTATACTTCGGTTTAAAAAGGAATATTAGAAGCCTGCCGGTACATAAAGTGTTGAGGGGTCTGACCATTTTGAAATTTAAAAAAAATCGAATTTTTCTTTGCTTAAAATGGTAGTTTGAAGTCTTTAAAATAAATTGCAAAAGGTTTTAGCCTTTAAAACAAATCATTTTTGGAAATGAAAAGCCTGTAGCTGATTCGTATACCTGCGTGCCGAAGCGTTGAACTTATGGAAAAAACGCCTGGAAACTTCAAACGCGTTTTTCTCGGAACTGTGTTTCTAAAAACGGTGTGCAAGATATCTCGAGATCTAATCAACCTATTATGTACCTTGAAATTTTGCAGATACCATTAGTATAATATACAGGGTGTTCTAAAATTATGGTATTTTCGGGAAATGAGGGGCTCCTGGGATCATTTGAAGTAACTTTTTCCTCAGCGAAATTGCAATCCACGGCTTTGTTTACGAGTTATTAACGAAAAACAATGACCAATAGGAGGCGAGAGCGCTCGTTGGCTCGGCCGCTTCGCGCCAGCCGAGCTCACCCATCATTGGTCAGTGTCTTTTGTCAATAACTCGTGAACGATGTCTCGGAGAAAATTCTTGTAAAGGAGAAAGTTGCTTCGAATGACCTCAGAAATCTCTCATTTCCCGGAAGTACCATAATTATGGGACACCCTGTATATTAGACATGTCGATCCATGTTTTTATAATTTTTGATAATTTCGGAAAGTATAAACAAAAAGCGTAGAAATTTTTTGTTCAAATACAAACAGCTACCATTTTGATAATTTTCAGAAAAATGGAATTGTCCACAATTATTCACAAAAATTGTAATCTTCAATGCCTAGACAATATATCCTAGCTGTAAGCATTTTCTGAATTTTTATTCCAGGTAATTTCGTTTGGCAGGAAACCTACACACCGTTAAGCCATCTTAAAAAAAAGGAAATTCAGAGTGATGACGTTTAACATCTAAATAAACAACATTTAAAACAAAATTAACACTGCTTTTTTACAATTCATAGCATTGTAAAATAAGCTATAAAAACTTATATCAATGAAATGTTTACTTTTCTTCTGTTGTTGTTTTGAAATATAAGTAACTTTTGATCGCGTCAACGTGTTCTAATCACCTAAGAGGGTGGAAGTAATAATAACAAAGGTTGTAATAGATCTGGAGATACACATACCTGCGTGTGCGAATAAAACATCGAGAAATTACTGACGATAACAGGAACCGGAAGAGCAATAGCCAGGACCCCAGCAATCGCGCACAATCCCCCGATGATCATTCCTGGAAAAGTTTTTGGTGTCATATCACCGTAGCCTACCGTTGTCATGGTCACCAAAGCCCACCACAGGCCGTGCGGTATAGTGTCGAAGTCATTATTTGGGTTATCCTGGAACCATAAACAGTATTGTATATATAATGTAATCAAAATTCTCGATTCTTTGAAGCGAGTACAAAAGTATTGATGAATTCTCAGTACATATCTGCTAGGGTTGCGAAGCCGGTTACTGTGGGGTGACCGAATTCTGTGCCTTTGTTTTGTTTTCGGTCATAATTGTCTTTATATTTATAGAATAAGATGCATTAAATTTTGTTAATCTTTCAGTTTGTTTATTTTATTTTAATAATCATTTATTTTAATAAAGTAGTTTTTATTTTAATAACAGAAAACATAAAATAGAGTAATTCCCATAGATCTTACGTTACACTAAATTGATTTTAATAATAATTTATTTTAATAAAGTAGTTTTTATTTTAATAACAGAAAACATAAAATAGAGTAATTCCCATAGATCTTACGTTACACTAAATTGATTTTAATAATAATTTATTTTAATAAAGTAGTTTTTATTTTAATAACAGAAAACATAAAATAGAATACTTCCCATACATCTTACGTTACACTAAATTTATTTTAATAATCATTTATTTTAATAAAGTAGTTTTTATTTTAATAACAGAAAATATAAAATAGAATACTTCCCATAGATCTTACATAAGAAGATACATAAGAAACCATGTTTGCAAATGAAAATTGTCTTTTTAAATACAGCTATTCGCACGTAAGAAAATGTATCTTTTATGCCTGTTTATAATGCAGAGGAAATCTGCTTCGTTCATTTTAGTTTACCAAAATAAATTTTACTTGTTGATAATTAATTAAATAAATGAAATATTCCAAACTATGGCACAAATGTTCTCAGTGGTTTTCAAATAAAATACTATTTGAAACATTATCTCAATTTGTGACAACGAATAAGATATTTTCTTTTTCAAAGTATATTCTCTCTTTCGAGCAAATAAAATATCTTGTTTTATTTAAAATATAATACGTATTTACTATTTGCAATTTAAAATACCATTTTACTCAGCTCTGATAACGATTCATTTTCGACTGTTACCGTTATACAGAGTGTTTCAAAATATGCGAGCTTGACATCAAAGGTATATTTAATATGCTTATATGCCTGTTATGAATTTGCTTTCGAATTACAACTCTCTTTATCTTCCAGTCGACCATCTTGTCTGCTACGTGAAAACTATTCCATAATTTGTTTCAATCAGTTTAATCAATTCTTATGACGACGACGGCTACTATTTGATATTTGATAACTATTTAATAACATTTAATAACTATTTGATAACATATTCTTATGATAATTTGATAATACATTTTTGTGGTAATTTACATTAATAAAGATAGATCATACAAATGTTGACAGATGTATTACTAAAATGACTAATTTGAAAATAATGTTATGTCCGGCGTATATTTCTACAAACTTTTCTTATTATTATAATGTAGTAAATTGACCACTCAAACTATATCCACTTGATTTGAAACACCATATGCATACAAGTATAAATATTCATACAAGTGTGGCCTAAACTTGCGTAGCCCTTATTTGGCGATTTTAGAAACAACGTTACATACTTGAAATACGACCTTTTTAATATCATATAAATTAGAACAAATTTTTTGTAAATGAGTAATAGTAATTTTAATGAATAATCGATATACATACGTTTTACAATTACTTTCACTAGAATGAAATACCAGAAATTTCTAACTCTTATACATTCGCAGAGACAAATGATTTTTACTGATCGAATTCTTTGGAAGAGATATCTTGCGACTGGAAGTCGTTCACTTCGATGTTCTGAACGAGATATGCGCGTCTATATTGAGCCTATAACTTCAGTTTTCATATGGCATACCGTGCTATAACAGTGAACGCCCGACGATTGATAAAAAAACCGAATTACACAGTCGTGAAATATTCTTACGACATAACGTTTCTACCGTCAAATAAAATGTTGGATGGGTAAAAATCACTTCGCGGAATATCTCCATCAAGAATATGGGAAGGTGTAAAATGAATACAGCAAATTCTCCCAAATTGCCTCTCAGTTTGTACACAAAAATGGACAATTTGGGAAGAGGAGGTACGATTATTCGAGCCATGCAGCTCTTTTTTATAGTTGTTGACAATCGGTAACTGTAAAAACGAGCCGCGAGACTCGAATAATCGTATCTCCTCTTCCCAAATTGTCCATTTGTGTGTACAAGCTGAGGATCAATTAGGGAGAATTTATTGTACCCGAAAGAAAAACATTAAAATGTATTTCACTTATTCAAAGTTCTGGGCTGTAACTCGAAGAACTATATCTCAATTACATTGTATTTCAATTGAATTCGTGATTCAAATAATTTGTAATTGAATTGATTGAAAGGTTTGAAGTACTTAGTAATTGTGTGAATTACTACGTAATTGAAGTACAATGTAATTGAGCCAGCGCAACTCTGTAGCAAAATATGTATCGAAATCTATATCATATATTTTAAGGTGTATTCATTGAGACTATGACAAATTTGTATACTATACTGTAGAAGTTATTTTTATGAAAAATATAGCATGAGTATGAATTTGTACAAAATCAATTTTATTAAGTGTTCATGTATTAAGTGAAAAGCTCTCTCTCTCTCTCTCTCTCTCTCTCTCTCTCTCTCTCTACAATGATTGCCAGTGAATAAATGATTTTACATTACATTTGCTGAAAAAATATATACAAGAATTTTCTTTCGGGTTGCACGAATATAATATCAAAATTGTGAATAATTGTTTTAACAAACATGGAGCTTGAGCGTTCATTGAATAAACAGTTCATCCTGCAATATGTATTGTATTAAATTGGTCATCATTCATCAGGTATTTTCAATTACGTGCAGTAAAACTTAATTAATAGAACTCAATCGATACATGTACTTCGACATGTGTGAATATTAAAAATTAAACAGACATTGAATTTTCACTACAGCACCAAGATTTACGAAAGACATTTTTTAAATTTTCGTTGTAAACTCAGATAAAAAAGTTAAAAAGCGAGAGTTCTTTTATTTTTTATTTGTTATTCCAAGGAATAACAAAATTAAAGGGAAAATTTTTTTGTCATTGTCTAGTATACTAGTTCCTCTATCGTTTAAACAAAATTCAAGTCATTTAGTGCAGTTTTAAAAAGTTATTGCGTTTCAAAAGGTGAGCGAACTCTTTTTCTATCCAGTGTATATGTGCTAATAAATATAGTGTGTAGATCTCTGAATGAATAATACTGTTATAGTGTTGCGACCACATAGTGCCCCGCTAAAATTTCCAAAAACAAAGTAAGCATTTTTTTCTTATTAAGATGTCTTTGTTCTCGATATCGGCGGCTTTATGGTTGACAGAAAATGTGATTGTAAAGAGTTAGCAATTATATTTGTTTCTACCGGAATACGCGATTTGACAGAATTTAAATTGGACAGACGAGTTGACTACGAGTGTCCGAAAGTCTGCATGGCACGTGACGAATTTTGTGCAACGGAATTTCATTTAGAAATTTTGGTCACGACATACGTCAACAGGTGGAGATAGTTTAAATTATTCGAAATTTTGTCCGGGATTGCTCAGCTCCTGTCGTCGCGTATAAAGGGGGGCATGTCGGAAAAGACATTTTGAACGAAATGGAAATACGTAGCGTGAATTTGAAAGATTTGGCTGTCCTAAATGCGATGTATTGATTACCGATCCAATGCACGAAACTTGCGACAGGGCATGCGAACTTTATTGCTGAACGCCATCGCCATCATCGTAAAATAAAGTAAAAAAGTATCGTTACTGCTTGAGCTAATTTCGCGCATTCTGAATGTGCCGTAAATGAAAAACAAAAGAGGTAACATGTTGAAATAAACTATTTTCGGACAACTTTTTCTTTTTCATTTTCTAGAATTTTTTGTATACATTTTGTATATACCCTGTATATAGGGTGTCTAACTTAAATATGTTCACCTGTTATTTCCTTTAATTTTCAGAAAGTAAACGATCTTTTATATTGCTAAGGGTTGTTTCTTTCAAATGTTATTTTTTCGGAGTTTTTCAAGGTCATCGATGTTTCTTTTTTACGTAACTACATATATTTTCGTGTTCCATCAGATAACTCAGAAAGAAATACTATCAAATATCTGCTGTGTTATATGACCTTCAAATGACCTTGAACATGGAGGTCAAACTTTTTACAATTTCAGTTGTAAGAAGAGTCTTCATCTTCGGAGGTTATGGTCATCTGAAGGACATATCACGGCACATATTTAGATGTACTTCTTTATAAGCTATGCGATGTAATACGAAAATACATGTATCTATCTATAAAAAAACATTGATAACGTTGACAGCTAAGGAAAAAACATTTCAGAACAACAACCACTACTTTTTCGAAATTGAGGAAAATATTCTGAGGTTCACACTTCAGTGAGACACCCTGTACATCGGAAAATCCACACATTATATGTTAAATATCTTCATAAAAATAAGCATTGGTATGAAAGCTCGGACACGTGTCTACTTATTTTGTCCCTAGAATCATCACAAAAAGTTTGATTAAGATCAGCGACCGTACAGGTGTGACCTCTCTTTGTTAGATAAGTTTCAGCGATAAAACCGGATTCTCAGCGACTTTTGAATGATTTACATACAACTGACCGCACTGATAGAGAAAATTGTGTGTTTGCGATTAGGTTGCCTGTACGGGCAGGATTTAGCGAGGAAATAAATACAGACTGGAACTGATAACACACATATCACATATTTTAATTAATCTTCATAAAATGCAGATTTATATTAATTAATGTATTAGGTTTGTTAGTGGATTATATTCAATAATGCGGCCATGTAAAATGAGACGGTATCCTGTTTTGATGTTTGGTATATTTGCATTGTATTCAAATTCAATTTTGATATCAAGTGCTCCTCTTTCGATTGCATGAGGTTGTCGTGTACAGAGTTGGACAAAATTCATTCCATCGATGATATTATAATGTATTACAATATTATAAGTATATTATATGAAAGTATA